CCCCGTCCCGCCGCCCCGCGGGCCGCGCGCGGCCATTACCGCCGGGGAAGCGGGGCGCGCGGGCCTGCGGAGCCGCCGCCCGGTCCTCCTGTTCGCCCCTTTCCTTCCCCGCGTGTCACGCCGTCCTGCGGGCGTCTCGGCGGCAGCCAGCAGAGTGTGCTGCGAACATGTATGAGGGCAGCCCTCCCGCGCCCGGGGAGCTCATACATGCTCCGCCGCCGGGCTTTATTTATTTATATATACACACACCCCTACTTATTTATTTATTTCAACGGCTCGGGCCTTTGCCCGAGCGGCGAGCTGGTCCCACCCCTACCGGTTAAAACGCGCCTCTTATCGCAGGGCCTTGTGCAATCCAGAAACTCCTTCCTCGAAACTAGTTTAGCGATTCCTGTGTCACAAGAAACTGCCCAGATCGCTTCCGTAGGAATCTGGAGAAGTGCCACTTTTTAGCTCGTCCAAATGCCCTCTGCGGACGACCAGAAAGGTCTATAAAACAAGATATTCAGTAGGTGAAAATGTAAATGATAACCCTGGCCTATTTAACGTGATTAACAGCAGATCAGCGTCACCGAATTCTAGGAAATGGCTTGCGGAGTGAGACTGCAGGAAGACACATCTCTCTCCAGCCTCATTTCTTTCTCCTTTGGAGTTAGGAAGTAAAATGGCTGTTGGTTAAATACATCCCAAGTAAATTCATTACAAGTAGTTTGAAGCAAAGTGTTTACTAGGTCACTTGGAATTAATTGCTTGAAAAGCAAGCATTGTTGTACTGGTTCCCTGATTTTCTTCTTCTCGTTTTTTTTTTTTTTTTTCCTTTTTTTTCCTCCCCTGTTGTTCTGTTGGAGTAGGAGTTTAGGGAAGAGCGAATGTTTGAACTGTGCTCCAGGGATTAACAAACAATTCTGTGTTAATCACAAACCACAATTGCGTTAAGTAAGATAAAATTGGGAGCATGCATTGGGACGTAAGGCCTGAAGAATTTTATCATTATTATTATTATTATTATTATGCCACAAAATGAAAACTAAGATTAAAAAAAGTCCAAACATATAAGCAAAGGCATGTTCATGGACAAGGCACTCAAAACATGGACCGCAAGTGTGC